ATTGTGGCGGGCGCCTGTGGTCCCAGTAACTTGGGAGGCGGAGGCAGGAGACTCACTTGAGCCCAGGAGTTGGAGGTTGCTGTGAGCTGTGACGCCACGGCACTCTACCCAGGGGGACAGCTTGAGGCTCCTGTCTCAAAAAAAAAAAAATTTTATAAACTAGGCACAGTGGTTTATGCCTATAATCCCACCACTTTGGGAGGCCAAAGTGGGAGGAGTTCAAGACCAATCTGAGTAACATAGCAAGACATCTCTACCAAAAAAAAAAAAAGCCAGGCAAACAAGTGCCCACACGTGTAGTCCTACTTACTCAGAAGGCTGAGGCAGGAGGATGCCTTGAGCCCAGAAGTTTGAGGTTGCTGTGAGCTATAATGATGCCACTGTATTGCAGCCTGGGTGACAGAGCAAGACTCTTGTCTCAAAAAGAAAAGTATAAAATAATACACACTTGGCAGCACGGATTGCAGAAAAGCACAATGCGATCATCTAATTAAACACTTAACAGCAATGCCAGGTGTGGTGGCTCATGCCTCTAATCCCAGCATTCTGGGAGGCCAAAGAGGGTGGATAGCTTGAGCTCACGAGTTCCAGACCAGCTTGAGCCAGACAGAGTAAGACCCCCCCCATCTCTAAAAATAGCCAGGCATTGTAGTGGGTGTCTATAGTACCAGTTACTTGGCAGGCTGAGGCAAGAGAATCGCTTGAGCCTAAGCATCTGAGGTTGCTGTGAGCTAAGAGGCCATGGCACCTTACCGAGGGCGACAAAATGACACTCTGTCTCAAGAAAAACAAACAACAAAAAAATCACTCAATGGCTTTGGCAGCTGGCATGAAGTACAGAAATGAAGTTTCATGGATTTCTGGTTTCATCTCTTCTATACCTGCAACTTTTCACAATCTTAAGTCTCTAGATATAAAAAATAAATTTAAAAAAGTATCCAGATATTGGGCGGTGCCTGTGGCTCAAGGTAGGGTGCCAGCCCCATATGCCAGAGGTGGTGGGTTCAAACCCAGCCCTGGCCAAAAAAATAAAAAAGTATCCAGATACAAAATACTATTTCTAGCTTCCCAGAGGCCAAGAAAAAAAAAAAGGTAAAAGAAGCACTTATTAAGCTCCTATAGAGGATCATTGGGGGTGGCATGGCTTCTTTTTGAGTAATTTAATGTTTAAGAGGTGTTACATCAGCTACAAATGGTCAAATTATATTTAAGAATAACAATTTTATTTTTTTTGAGACAGAACCTCAAGCTGTCCCCCTGGGTAAAGTGCGGTGGCATCACAGCTCACAGCAACCTCCAACTCCTGGGCTCAAGGAGTCTCCTGTCTCCACCTCCCAAGTAGCTGGGACCACAGGTACCTGCCACAATGTCCAGCTATTTTTTGGTCGCAGCCACCATTGGGTTTTTTTTTTTTTTTTTTTTGAGACGGAGCCTCAAGCTATCCACCTGGGTAGAGTGCCATGGCATCACGCTCACAGCAACCTCCAACTCCTGGGCTCAAGCGAGTCTCCTGCCTCAGCCGCCCAAGTAGCTGGAACCACAGGCGCCGGCCACAACGCCTGGCCATTTTTTGGTTGCAGCCATCATTGTTGTTTGGTGGGCCCGGGCTGGGGATTCGAACCCGCCACCTTAGGTGTATGTGGCTGGCGCCTTAGCCACTTGAGCCACAGGCGCTGAGCCAGCCACCATTGTTGTTTGGTGGGCCTGGGCTGGATTTGAACCCACCAGCTCAGGTGTATGGGGCTGGCGCCTTAGCGGCTTGAGCCACAGGTGTCAAGCCTAAGAATAACAATTTTATGTGAAGTTACCAAAGGTATCTCTTTTTTTTTGAGACAGTCTCAAGCTGTTGCCCTGGGTAGAGTGCCATGACATCACAGCTCACAGCAACCTCAAACGAGGGCTTAAGCAATTCTCTTGCCTCAGCCTCCCAAGTAGCTGGGATTACAGGTGCCCCACAAAACACCTGGCTATTTTTTTTGGTTGCAGCCGTCACTGTTGTTTGGCAGGCCCGGGCTGGATTCGAACCTGCCAGTTCTGGTGTAGACACTTGAGCTATAGGCGCCAAGCCAAAGTACAAAAGTTTTGAATAGAAAACTGCTAAAGAGAAACTTCAAGCCTTTGTGAGTTAGGGTTACAGAGTATAAAAACCTCACTCAGAAAGGAGGATGGAATACAAAGACAAAAATATGGACTTAAAATGATCACAACACTGGAGGCAACTACCTAGCCCTTACATCAAAACTACAATTTGGAAGGAAGGCTTACAAAATCCCGAGGAACTGTTATTTAAAAAGATGCTTAAGGCCAGGCACAGTGGCTGACACCTGGAATCCTAGCACTCTGGGAGGCCAAGGCAGGTAGATCACTTGATCTCAGGAGTTTGAGAGAAGTCTGGGCAAGAGTGAGGCTTTGTCTCTATAAAAATAAAAAATGAGCTGGGCTTGGTGGTGGATGCCTGTAGTCCTAGCTACTCAGGAGGCTAAGGCAAGAGTATCGCTCAAGCCCAAAAAGTCTGAGGTTGCTGTGACCTATTATGCCATGGCACTGTAGCCTGGTCTAAGAGAGTGAAACTGTGTCCAAAATAAAGAAGTTCCATTTTCAAGTAAGTGCAGGCACACAGTGGTGCTGTATTCTGATGTGCCACCTGTGGGAAAATCTACAGTCTGCATTTCACCCACACTCCTTCTTAGAAACTCACTCAGAATGGAGGCAGGCACAGAAGCAGAAGCCCTGTCAGCAACACTAGGATTTGCTCATTGCTCTCAAGGTCTCTTGATCTAGTTTAATTTTGTCCACATCATTTTCTTCATTGGGAAAGTTGTGGTGGTTCAAAAGAATATTTATTCCCTACTTGGGAACTGGATGGCTTTGTCTATATTATGTTATACTTTGCAGAGGTTTCAAACCACCCAGTGAAATCATGTTCTTTGCAGAATTGGTCCATCTAGGAAAGATTCTGACCAATTTCCCTTTTTGGGTCATATTTGTTAGCTAAAAGGACAGCAGGAATAGGGCTTGGAAGATGAACTGCACCAACAGCTTCCTTGTAGCATACTGAGGTCATGTTGCCAAACTGCTCCTGCCCTAAGATGTCCTGCAGCTGCCAGTCCACCAGTGTCCTGCTGTGCCAGTTGAAGACCTTGAGGGCAAAGTCCATCCTGATAGTGGCCTGGTAGTGCTGTGAGAGGGGCTGGTGGACCTAGTACTTGATGATGTAAGTCTTGCCAGTGACAAGCACCTTGAAGAGGTGGTCTGCTGCAAGGGCTGCTACCTGGCCTGGGTCCCTGGCTCACCCACTGGCCATTAGTGTCATGGCTCTGGGGCATGCTTGGGCTCCCCACCAGCCCCCACCCTGCAACACATGCTTCTAGATGATAAATTCTCTCTTTCTCTTTTTTGTTTTTTTTTTGAGACAGAGTCTCACCCTGTTGCCTTGGTAGAGTACTGTGGTGACATAGCTCACAGCAACCTCAAACTCTGAGCTCAAGTGATCCTCTTGCCTCAGCCTACCTAGTAGCTGGGACTACAGGTGCTCACCACCACACCCAGCCTAAATAATAAATTCTTGACAATCTGAAGGCCTTAACAGCTCTAACAGTCAATAATTTTATCTATGCTGGCTCGGCACCTGTGGCTCAACCGGCTAAGGCGCCAGCCATATACACCTGAGCTGGCAGGTTTGAATCCAGCCTGGGCCCACCAAAACAACAATGTCGGCTACAACCAAAAAATAGCCAGGCGTTGTGGCAGGCGCCTGTAATCCCAGCTACCTGGGAGGTGAAGGCAGGAGACTCGCTTAAGCCCAGGAGTTGGAGGTTGCTGTGAGCTGTGACGCCACGGCACTCTACCCAGGGCGACAGCTTAAGGCTCTCTCTCAAAAAAATTTTTTTTTGTTATCTATGCAATTGGAAGAAAGCGGTGCCCTAGACAAGATACTTCATTTCTTTTTTTTGAGACGGAGCCTCAAGCTATCCCCCTGGGTAGAGTGCCATGGCACCACGCTCACAGCAACCTCCAACTCCTGGGCTCAAGCGAGTCTCCTGCCTCCGCCTCCCAAGTAGCTGGGACCACAGGCGCCCACCACAACGCCTGGCCATTTTTTGGTTGCAGCCATCATTGTTGTTTGGCGGCCCCGGCCGGGGATTCGAACCCGCCGCCTTAGGTGTATGTGGCTGGCGCCTTAGCCGCTTGAGCCACAGGCGCCGAGCCTTCTTTTTTTTTTTTTTTTTAGAGACAGAGTCTTACTTTGTAGCCCTTGGTAGAGTGCCATGGCGTCACAGCTCACAGCAACCTCCAGCTCTTGAGCTTAGGCAATTCTCTTCCCTCAGCCTCCAGAGTAACTGGAATTACAGGTGTCCACCACAATGCCCAGCTAATTTTTTGTTGCAGTTTGGCTGGGGCTGGGTTCAAAACCGCCACCCTCAGTATATGGGGCCGGCACCCTACTCACTGAGCCACAGGCACCACCTGACACCTCATTTCTATTGGCAAGTAAAATATGGGTTTTGGGGCAATTTTTTTCTTAGTATGCTTTGTCTGCCAATAAAAACAAGCCAAAAATGCCAGAGAAGTAATTAAAAAACTACTGGGAAACAAAAAAAAAAAAAAAAGGAAATAGGGGTTGAGTACCACTAATGGGAAAGTATAAAATCTGAAATGCTCCATAATCAGAAACTTTTGAGTGCCAACGTGATGTTACAGGTGGAAAACTCCATACCTGACCTCATAAGATATGCTGAAAACTAAACAAAGGCGCACCACAGTTTATTCAGAATCTCCAAGGGGGAAAAAGACCCTCCCAGCTTGCTTCAGTGGTGATATACTGTTTTTTTTTTTTTTTTCCAATCAAGCCCAGATTCCCCCGCCACAAGTACACCCACAAAGAGCAATAAAATGGCACTGGCGGGCAGTGCCGTGGCTTAGTGAGCAGGGCGCCAGCCCCATATACTGAGGGTGGTGGGTTCAAACCTGGCCCTGGCCAAACTGCAACAAGAAAATAGCCGGGCATTGTGGCGGGGGCCTATAGTCCCAGCCACTCGGGAGGCTGAGGCAAGAGAAACACCTAAGCCCAAGAGCTACAGGTTGCTGTGAGCTGTGACGCTACAGCACTCTACCACAGGTGACAAAGTGAGACTGTCTCTTAAAAAAAAAATGGCACTGGGGAGGCCAGCTGCACCAATGGCAGGTTCCCCATGATGCCTCACATGGGCCAAGACCCACTGGACATCATTCACTGTGAGCTTTTTGCTTATTCTATGCTCTGTGGTATAAAAATATTATTGATAATGTCAAAAATGCCTGCATAATATCATCAGAGTAATGCAAATATTCCAAAATTTGAAAAGATCTGAGATCTGAAACACTTCTGGTACTATGCATATTGGATAAGGGATATTCAACCTGCATTAACAGTCACACTATGGCTGGTTATGGTCGCTCACACCTGTAATCCTAGCAGTCTAGGAAGCCAAGGCAGAAGGGCTGCTTAAGGCCAGGAATTTTGAGGCCAGCCTGAATAACAGCCAGAATACCATCACTACAAAAAAAAGAAAAAGTAGCCAGGCTCAGTGGTGTGTGCCTATAGTTCCACTTACTCAAGAGGTAAAGGCAGGAGTATCACTTGAGCCCAGGAGTCTTAGGTTACTGTGAGCTAGGATGATGCCATTGCACTTCAGCCACAGGCAACAGAGTAAGACACCTTCTTTTTTTTGAGACAGAGCCTCAAGCTATCCCCCTGGGTAGAGTGCCGTGGCATTACAGCTCACAGCAACCTCAACTCCTGGGCTCAAGCGAGTCTCCTGCCTC